AAGAAGTGGAAGAAGAACGTTGTAGAAGTTAGCAGAATTGGAGACAAAATTATTTCCTTAAAAATGATAATTGGACGTGAGACTGTTAATATTGTTAGCGCTTATGCACCGCAAGTCGGGACAGAAGCCAGTATTAAGGAATTATTTTGGGAGGATCTGGAGGGGTTGATTCGACATATACCACAGAGTGTGAAGATTTTTATTGGAGGAGACTTTAATGGGCATGTTGGGAGGGAAGCTGGTCAGCATGCGAGGGTGCATGGTGGTTTTGGTTTTGGAGAGCTAAACAATGAAGGACAAACTCTTCTTGATTTCTCATTGGTGTATGATTTTAAGATTGCCAACACTTGTTTCAAGAAGAGAGATGAGCATCTCATTTCTTACAAAAGTGGAGTCTCAAGGTCACAGATTGATTTTCTTTTGGTTAGGAACACAGATAGTAGACTTTGTAAAAATTGTAAGGTGATCCCCAGAGATGCTGTAACGACACAACATAGGGTCCTAGTCCTTGATGTGTGTATTATGAGTAAAATCCAAAAACGTCGACAAGTAGTAACACCAAGGATTAGGTGGTGGCAATTAAAAGGTGAGAAGCAAGATATTTTCAAGCGAAATCTTTTGGATAAAGGAATTTGGGAATCTCAAGGAAGTGCTAACATCATATGGGAGGATATGGCTAAAAAGATACGGGAGGTTGCAAAAGTAGTTTTGGGAGAATCGAAAGGTTCTGGTCCGAGAGATAAGGAGTCTTGGTGGTGGAATAATAGTGTATAGGACAAAATCAAGTATAAGAAGAACTGTTTTAAAGCCATACATCTGTGTAACAATGAGGAAAATTAGGAGAGGTACCGTATGGCTAAGAAGGAAACTAAGAGAGCTGTGGGTGAAGCTCGTTCTAAATTTTTTGAAGAATTTTATAAGAACCTTGAGACGAAGGAAGGAGAGCAAAATATTTATAAGATTGCCAAGAGTAGGGAAAGAAAATCAAGAGATCTAGAATAGGTAAGGTGTATTAAGGATGAAGAGGGAAGAATTTTAGTTACAGATGATGAAATTAAAAATAGATGGGAGACTTACTTTTCTAAATTTTTCAATGATGGAGAGGATTCATTTAGTAACTTGGAGGATTTAGTAACTGGTGAAGGGAACAAAATTTGTCATTCTATCGAATAATACGTGATAAGGAGGTAAAGGAAGCTCTTAAGAAAATGGCAAATGGTAGAGCCAATGGACCTGATTGTGTATCTATCGAAGTGTGGAAATGTTTAGGTGAAGAAGGGGTGAGATGGTTAATTAAGTTATTTAATGTGATCTTACGGTCCAAGAAAATGCCTGATGAGTGGAGGAGAAGTACATTAATTCCTATTTATAAAAATAAAGGAGATATTCAGAATTGTACTAACTATAGAGGGATTAAACTTATGAGCCACACAATGAAATTGTGGGAGAAAGTAATTGAGCACAGGTTGAGATTGGAGACAAGTAGTTTTGAGAATCAATTTGGTTGTATGCCAGGTAGATCAACTACAAAGGCGATTTATCTACTAAGGGAATTAATGGAAAAGTATCGTTGTAAAGATAAAGATCTACACATGGTTTTTATTGATTTGGAAAAAGCTTATGACCGTATACCAAGAGAAGTGCTTTGGAAAGCGTTGGAAAAAAAGGGAGTACGGCTTGCTTATATTAAAGCCATACAAGATATGTGTGAGGGGTAAAAACTAGTATAAGAACGCCTAGTGGTCAAACAAAGGATTTTCCTATAAAGATTGGACTACATCAGGGATCATCTCTGAGTCCTTATTTGCTCAACTTGATTTTAAATGTTTTGACGGAACATATTCAAGAGGAAATCCCGAAATGTATGCTCTTCACGGATGATATAATTCTTATAGCAGAGACAAGAGAAGAGGTTAATTGTAAACTTGAGTTATGGAGGAGGACATTGGAGTCGAAAGGTTTTCGTCTGAGTAGAAGTAAGACTGAATATTTATATTGCAAATTTGGTAAAGGAATATTCGACAATAATTTGGAAGTGAAATTGGGAGATCAAATTATACCTCAAGTGGAAAAGTTTAGATATTTGGGAGCCATTATTCAAAATGATGGCGAAATCAGTGGAGATATTTCACATAGAATTCAAGCTGGGTGGTTTAATTGGAGAAAAGCTAAAGGAGTTATTTGTGACCGTAAGGTGCCTAATAAACTTAAAGGAAAGTTTTATCGCACTGCTATCTGACCGGCAATGTTATTTAGTAGTGAATGCTGGGTTCTAACGGGACAGCAAGAGCATAAAGTTGGAGTAGTAGAGATGAGAATGTTATGATAGATGTGCGGACATACACGTAAAGATAAAATTCGAAATGAGCACGTACGCGAAAAAGTGAGGGTGGTACCTATTGAGGAAAAAATGGTAGAAAATCGGTTGAGATGGTTTGGGCATATACAAAGAAGACCAAGGGAGGCACCAGTGAGAAGAGTGGAACATATAACTTTGAGTCCGATTAAGAGAGGTAGAGGAAGGCCTAAGAGAACACTCTTGGAAGTTGTTGAACGCGATCTCTTAATTAATAATATTCCTAAAAGCTTGATAAATGATAGAGCACAATGGCGTCTTGCAATCCATGTAGCCGACCCCACCTAGTGGGATAAAGGCTTGTTGTTGTTGTTGTTGTTGTTGCTATCATTCCACCACCAAGACTCCTTATCTCTTGAACAAACACCTCTTGATTCTCTCAAAACTTCTTTTGTAACCTTCCTTAACTTCACAGCCAAGTCTTCCTACAAGGTATTAGCACTTTTTTGAGACTCCTAAATTCCTTCGGCCAAGAGATTTCTCATGAAAATTTCTCTCTATTCACCTTTTAATTGCCACCGCCTAATCCGTGGAGTTATTACTTGTCGACGCTTTTGGTTTTTACTCATAATACACACATCAAGGACAAGGACCCTGTGTTGTGTCATAACAGCATCTCCAGAAATCACCTTACAATTTTTACAAAGTCTTCTATTCGCGTTCTTTATGTGGTTAGACCGTGTAATTATTAGATATTATGTGTAAATATTTTCTATTAATATTCGTTATCCTAGGAGATTAGGTAGGATCTGTCTTTAATTAGATATTACCTTATTTAGCTACTGACCGATACTGGTTCCTTACTTTTCGGAGAGATTATTGCTCCTATTCCGGTATATATGTATTCGGCCTCCTTTGATGAATTATGAGAGAAGCAAATTGCTCATTTGCTACACCTTACCAAAAAGAAATCAATCTGTAACCTTGAAGCTTTGCTTTTATAAGTGATGAGGTGCTCATCCTTTTTCTTGAAACAGGTATTAGCAATCTTAAAATCATATGTCAAAGAGAAATCAAGGATTTGTTGGCCTTTATTATTTGGTTTCCTAAAACCCAAACCACCATGCACTCTCATATAATGACCTACCTCCCTCTCGACGTGTCTATTAAAGTCTTCTCCAATAAAGATCTTTTCATTATGTGGTATTCTTTCAATCAACCCCTCCAAGCCTTTCTAAAATAATTCTTTAAGCTTCTGTCCCAACTTGAGTTGCGTAACCACTAACAATATTGATAGTCTCTTATTCGATGATCATTTTTAAGGAAATAATTTTGTCTCCAATTCTGTTAACTTCTACCACGTTCTTCTTCAACTCCTTATCGACAATGATACCCACCCCATTGCGTGTGTTTTCTTTCCCAATATGCCAAAGTTTGAAACTTTGGATATCCTTAGCTTGTTCATTAGTCCATTTTGTTTCTTGCAGGCACAAGAGATTAATTTTTCTCTGAATCATAACTCATACCACCTCCGTAGATTTACCAGTTAAGGTCCCAACATTCTAAGTACCAAGTCTGATCTTGCTCACATGGACTAACTTTTTTAGCCGCGCAAATCCAGAATAACGTGGTAGCCCCTGCTCATTTAACACTACATTTGGGCATCGATGCAATGGCCCTAACTCACTTATCACTGCACTTGAGCCATGTAGCGTGTTACTTACAGGCAACGACCTAGCATTAGCACAAAAATGTCTGTTGTCTATATCCATGTGAGATTCAACAAAGTTTTACATTGACTGTTGAGGGTCTAACACAACCCTCCTCTTTTATCCGGGCTTGGGACCGGCTATATAACATAGGCGGATTTTCTTTTTTTGATTGTTAATGTTTCATTTCTTCTTTCAGCTCTAAGTGATTTTAGTGTGTTTAGCAGTAATTCTCAACATTTCCCCTATTGTTAATAGAGCATTCCCAGTATTTCCTATTTTATTGCTTTTTAGTTTCAGGTTCTATCACTTACCAAGTAAATCTTTGTTTTTGAGTTATGGATTGATACTCGGGTACCGAAGCTTTCTGGCTTTTTTCCCCTTACCTTCTATAATAAATAACACAAGCTACCTGATGGGCAGCAAGTGGTGATCGAGGAGCATTTAAAGGAATGGAAAATAGAACCAAGAAACATGACTTTTAATTTGAAGAAGAAAATGCGGTAATGCTAGGCAATAAGACCTCTGTATGTGAAGAAGCCATGCATGAAACTTCTTTTAACTCCAAGGAAAATAATTATATGTTTTGAAATAGTTTACAAGAGAACACAATTCTATGTTATGCATGAACGCGTTCTTTCTGTAATGTTAAAATTTCTTTCTGTAGCTCTCTTGCAATCCTCTAAATCTTAACCTAGTTTCATTGTGATGTGGCTATTATGTTGTTTTAGCCTAATGTAAAAGCAGGTTTGTAAATTCATGCTAGCACAGAATACTCATTATACAGATGAAATTCTTTATAGCTTTACAATTCGATTTTAAAGCCAAATTATTTGTGAAATTTTGATGTCCTCTTGGAAGAAGAGTTGCTTTTGAGTTATTCTCCAATTTTGAATGAAAATGCAATTTTTTCCCGCATTTTTCTTCAATTTGCTCATATATTTTTGTGTTGCATATGTATTGGTTAAGCTGTTTTATTGCTTTTATCTTCTTAGGAAACTGATGTGAAAGTCCTGAGAGAAGTCAAGATGCGTGAACAAATGCTAGATCGGGAAGCTTCACTTCAACGGGCAAGATTGGAAGCATCCCTTGCTGATGGTATTTCATGGGGTATGAGCGAGGATGCTATTGAAGAGGATGAGGTTTGTAGAATTTTGTCTTCATGCCTTGCAAAACATATTATGATCTTTTGAGTCCTCCCCCCCCCCCCACCCCACCCCAACCCAAATTGAATCTTTTTGTCTTTTGTATGAACCTTTGTTGTGAGGGCTTGATTTGACCAATTTTTCTTTCTTTTTCATTCATTTGGTGGATTCAAATGTCAGGATGATTCTGATGAAGTAACGTGGCAATCATATAAAGGAAAGCTTACTGAAAAGCAGGAAAGAACTCGTGAAAAAATAACGAAAAGGATGGAAAAGGTGAGCAGTTCTCCTTGTTAAATGTACCATCTTATATTGTATGTTTTTTTAGTGTAATTCACATCCACAATTTTAATTATAATATGCATTAGCAAGTCAAAGAACTTAAATTCAATCATGGTCTGTTAATTCATATATGTTGTGATAAGTACCCTAAAGAAATGGTTGGGTTAGTTTGCCTTCCGCTATAATGGATTCCCTGCATTCACTTTTTGGTGTCTGGGCTCATGACATGCGTTGATTGAGTTTTGCATAAAGACAGAGCTAGAAATGGAGGTCAGTGCACAGATTTTGGTGCATGCATCTGAAAGCAAGAAATTCCCATGTCAAGCCATGAACCACCTGATAAATCTAATTATTTAAATAACATGGCTGAATCTTGCATTGAAAAATATGTATGCAGGGGATCCATTATCGAGTCCAACGTGTAGCAGCTGCTGCATGTGAGAAATAAATAGTTGCTGACACAATAATTTGTTTTGATGCTGTTAAGAGCTTCAAGTGACATAAAATAAGATAACCTTACATGTATTATTTGCTTAAATTGCTGATGCCATACGGATTATGATTCGAGAAGAAACTGTCATATCCACTTGTTAACAAAGGCAATTCTATTAGACGGAAATCTGTTTTGTGGATATTTTGGGCCTGTAGAAGCTATATCATCCATTTTTATTTTCCTCTATTCAATAGTTCATGCATCGTGTTTGTGACAGATTCATTAGTTTGTTGTTTTTTATAGTGATGGTGAAAGATGTAAATTCTCATAACTATATTCCATAAAGAAAGGATACAAGACAGAAACTTATATACAGTTCTGGAAACCCTAAAATGATCTAATAAATGACTAAAATATAACGTGAATAATTCTGAACTTTACTCCTCATCATGGGCTTTTAAGACATGCCCAAGGATGCTATCCAACAAAAGAGGAATTGATTATTGAAGTATATTCTTTTATACTTCGTTCTTGCTGCAATTTGGCTTTAATATTCCTTGCAGCCTGTAAAAGCATTCCTGGGAGTTTGAGTCCTGTAAAGTTGAGCTTGTCTCAAACAGTTGTTACTTTCAATTAGCACCTATTCATTAGACACACAATAGTTTCTTTGTATTTATGCCACTTATACTGATGCAGATTGCTAACATGAAGAAAGAAATCAATGCTATACGAGTTAAAGACATTTCTCAAGGTGGATTAACACAGGGTCAACAGACTCATATTGCACGAAATGAACAAAGAATAACTCAGGTAAATTCGGAGGAAATAAATAACATTAGGACTTATCTTGATCCCCTCGCCATATTCTATATACTCGTAGGTTTGGGGATTTGCATTTGTATTGAAACATGTTTTGTTGCTAATACTGATGTATAAGCATGCACACTGATATTTCTAACGTATTTTTGTTACTAATCTGAATAGATGTTGGAAGAACTTGAAAACTTGGAAGAGACACTAAATGATAGTATTAGGGAAAGTATTGGTGGACCTAATGGCAAGTTATCTCATGGGAAGAAGAAAGGTCCAGTTGAAGATGAAGAAGAATACTTGAGGTAAACTTTTACTTTCATAGGATGCCATTAGTGGGTAAAGATGTTGAAGATGAAGAAGAATACTTGAGGTAAACTTTTACTTTCATAGGATGCCATTAGTTGGTAGAGGTATTGGATTTCTGCTAGGCCAGATGCCTAAGGTTCTGTGGACTAACCATGTATACTGCTCAAGGTTATTTTACTTGCTTGTGTTCTCTTTCTAGGAAGCTGAGCCTTTTTCTTTTCCTCATTTCCTTTTCACTTTTTTTTTTTTTTTTTTGGAAAAAGAGGGGGATGTCAAATTGATGGAATCTCACATTGTAAAGCTACAAGTAATTCTTGTGGCGCTTAAAGAGAAATGGGTATTTTTCCCTTACAAGCTCAGCGAGGCTGAAATTGATGTCAAGTGATGGAGATCTCTGTAAGCATGGAGAACTCGACTTCAGTGGCTTGTAACGGTGAAAAGCTAATGCCACTTAAGTACTTTAAGACAATTTCTGTAGGATTTGGAAGGAAAATTGTATTTTTCATTATCTGAATAGTGCGTTACATCCAAGAGTATATACACTAAGGCTAATCAAATCTAATAAAAGCTAATAAAGGCTAATAAAAGGTAACAAGGGATGTACAATCAGAATACAATCAAGACCCAATGAAAAAAAAATAAAAAAAAAAAAATTCCACACTTCCCCTCAAGTTGAATAATTGATATTAATCATGTCCAACATACTTATGCATTCGTCAAAATTCTCCCTTGGATGCCCATTGGTTAGGACAATGGCAATGTTTCTTAGATAGAACATATACTACGCACACTATGCTCCTTTCAATATTTTCTTTGGTGAAATGTCAATCTACTTCAACGTGTTTTGGTGTGAGATATGCTTATGGCAACCTTGCTATTGGAATAAAGCTTAATAGGTAGTTCCATACCAATTCGTAGTTCCTTGAGAAGTATTTGCAACCCCAAGCCCTCCAAGTTACTAAGTTGCCCCAAACAAAGGTACAATACCAAGATGTGGACCTTTTAGTAAATATTTCAACATTGGATTGTTCACCTCTTTTGGAGAACAATCCTTTTCTTAGGGTTTCTTTTAGATACCTCAAGATTCTATACGCAACTTGTAGATGAATTTTCTTTGGTGAGTGCATATGTTGACTTACAAAGCTCACAACAAAGGCGATATTCGGTCATGTGTGTGACAAGTATATCAATATTCCCACCAAGCTTTGATATCTCTCCTTGTTAACTAGTTGACCTTCCTCCTTCTCTTCCTCCTCTATTCTCTTCTCCCTTTTGCTTCTTTTTTACTACAATATCAGTGTCAATTGGCTTGCAATCAAGCATTCTAGTTTCTGTTAAGATATCAATGTCACATTCCATGAATTTTTGTGAGTTTTTGAATTAGAGAACTTGTGTATATTATTCACAGATGCCCCAACTTATGTACAGATTACAAGAGAAACTATAAAGGAAATAAAATCAAATCAAGAATAAAATATTAACTCCCATGATCTCATCTAATCGTATCCCTATATTTAAGGAATAAATCTCTCTAATAAAATACATTAAATATTAATTTTACTATTCTCACACCCCCCTTCAAGTTGGATCATAGATACTAATTATGTCCAACTTACTCAAGCAACCTTCGAAAGCGTGTTTATGCAACCGCTTAGTCAACATGTCTGCTGCTTGAAGATTTGTTGGTAGGAAGGTTAGGCAAATGATTCCATCTTCCACCTTCTCTCTGATGAAGTGTCTGTCTATCTCCACATGCTTAGACCTCTCATGTTGGATGAGATTCAAGGCCATGCTAATGGCAGCCTTATTATCACAACACAATTTTAGTGTTAGGTCAAGTTGGACATGGATTTCCTCCAATACCCTCTTCAACCAGAGTTCTTCCATTATGCCTTGAGCAAGTTCCCTTAATTTAGATTTAGCACTACTTTTGCTAACAACTCTTTGCTTATGATTCTTCTAGGTAACAAGATTTCTCCATACAAATGATCAATAACTAGTAGTCGATCTTCTATCTGGGTGATGTCCATCCTAATCTGCATTTGTATATAATTCTATAGTTCTTCGATCATGCTTGTGGAACAACAAACCTCTTCTGGGGATACCCTTTAGATACCTTAAGATCCTACATGCTACTTCTATGTGTTTTTCCTTCGGTTCACACATATACTAACTTGCTACATTCACAGCAAATGCTATGTCAAGTCTTGTGTGTGAGAAGTAGATAAGTTTCCTAACAAGCCTTTGATATCTCTCTTCAACTAGCTTTTCTTTTTCCTTATCCTCCTCTTCCTCCATGCTGTTATCTTCTTCCTCAAAATTGCCCTCTTGGATTTTTGCTTCTTTTTTGGAAAAACAATAGGGGTTCCAATAGGTTTACACCCTAACATACTTGTTTCTTTTAAGAGATCAAGTACATACTTTCTTTAAGATGCATAAATACCTTGCTTTGATTTGGCAAACTTTATGCCTAAGAAATACTTCATATGTCTAAGGTCCTTGACCTTGAATTCCCTTCCTAGAGCAGCTTTAACTCTTGTTATTTCTTCACTGTGATCATCAAAATAATTATGTTATCAACATATACAATGAGGATACACCTCTTACCTCTACTTTGACAAACATGGTATGGTTTGATAGTCCCTGTTGGTAGCCTTGTAATTTTAAGACCTTTGAGAATCTATCGAACCAAGCCCGCGGGGACTGCTTCAGACTATATGAAGATTTCTTTAACTTGCATACCTGGTCAACCCTTCCCTCATTGAAGCCCGAGGGCAAAGTCATATAAACTTCTTTCAATTCTTCATTCAAGAAGGCATTTTTGATGTCTAGTTGGTGTAATGGCCACTCAAGAATGGCTGCTATAGATAGCAGTACCTAAATAGTATTCAATTTTGCCACTGGTGTGAAAGTTTCTTGGTAACTAATACCATATGTTTGTGTGAACCCTGTACCCACGAATCGGGCCTTCAACTTATCAAGACTCCTGTCAGACTTATATTTTAGGGTAAAAACTCATTTACAACTTGCTTGCTTCTTGTTCCTTGGCTTCTGCACAATCTCCCAAGTCCCGTTTTCTTCTAATGCTTTCATTTCTTCTAGGATGGCCTCTCTCCATCCCCTTGTTTTAAGGGCCTTGTGGATGTTATTAAGAACACTAACATCATCTATATTAGCAATAAATGCCTGGTAACCAGGAGACAAGGCTTTATATGACAAGTATTTTTGAATGGGATGTTGTGTACAAGATTGAGGTTTCTTCTTGAGGGCAATTGGCAATTCCAAATCATCGTCTGTGGTCTTCTACATATCAAGGTTTTCATCAATACTCTCACCTTCCTCTCCAAGACTTTCTTTCCTAGAATCTCCTACTGGTTCTAATTTTGGTATTGCTTTAGGTATGAGGTCCTTTATATCTTGTTTCATCTTCCATGTGTAAGTTTTGATCTCTTTACCCTTAGTACTTGCATCCTTATCTCCCCTTGAACTTGCATTTTCTTTTGCTTCTGGCATAAAAGATACAAGTATAGGCTCAGGAGAAATATCAAGAGAAGTATGGTTATGGTGGTTAAGAGAGTCAATAGGAGAATACTCACAGTCAAGAGTCAACCAAAATTCACTCTAATGCTCCCCCTGAATTGAAGGAGATGGGTAAAAGGACTTATGTTCAGAGAAAGTGATATCATAGCTTTGGGACCTTCGTAGGAGGCTGTCATTCTTGAATGGCTTGAACCTTTGCTAGGTCTATTATAAGTTTTCCATCCTTGATCTTTATGTCCAGGGTAGTCCACCTCTTGCTTGGAAAATGAGCACTTCTATACCTTAATGTATAGCTCATTGTCAAAAAGTACCTGGAAGACTTTTTTTAGATGTTGTGCATGCTCCTCAAGGGTAGTGCTATACACCACGGTGCCTTTGCCAGGATGCCTTTGAAAGGTTGAAGTAGGTGTTTGCTCAAGAACCTATTTTGTCCTTGCCAACTACACTAAACCTTGAGGTGCACATGGATGCCTCATATTTTGTCATAGGGGTTGGGTTGATGCAAGAAGGACACCCCATCGCTTGCAAGGGCAGAAAATTGAGTGAAATAGAGGGGCACTACATAGTCTAAGAGAAAGAAATGATCACCATTCACTGCCTACGAACTTGGCGTCATTACTTGCTTAGAAGTAAGTTCACTATAATGTTTGACAATATTGTTACGAGCTACTTCTATACACAGAAGAAACTCAGTCCAAAGCAAGTTTGATGGCAAGACTTTCTTGCCAAGTTTGATTATAGATTAAAGTATAAGCTAGGAAAAATGAATGTGGTGGGTAATGCATTAAAGAGAAAGGCCAAGTTAGCTAGCCTCACAACAAGGATGCCCTAAAATGGCTTTTGTAGCATAATTACGGAAGGTATGTTTCAAGACTCTACTATAGGTGACTTAGTCAAGCTTGCTAATGATGGCAAGACTTGAAGGTTCTAAGTGAATGATGGAGTACTCTACACCATTGGGAATTGAGTCTATATGTCGAAATGGGGCAACCTTTGAAGATAACTGCTCAAGGAATGTCATGATTCAAAGTTGGTTGAGCATCTAGGTATGGCCCAAACACTTGTCCTTGTACAAAATTACTTTTATTGGCTACATATGCAAGATGATGTTGAAGCATATGTGAAGTTATGTCTAGTATGTCGGCAGGATAAATTATAACAACAACATCCCATTGGCTTACTCGAACCTATACTAGTGGCTGAAAGACTAAGGGAGAGTGTTTCAATGAACTTTCTTTTTGCTCTTCCTAAATCTGAAGGATATGGAAGCATAATGGCAGTGGTTGATCAATTCAGCAAATATGTATACCGAATCCTGCAGATTGCAAGGTTGGCGAAGTAGTGCGCTTATTCTTCAAGCATGTTGTGAAATTGTGGGGGATTCCACAAAGCATTGTCAATAACTAAGATCCTCGATTCATTGGAAAGTTTTGGAGGGAACTCTTCAAGTTCTTCG